GGGGCCCATTTTTTTTACAAAAGGGGGAAACCCCTTTTAAAAGGGGGCCCCCCCCCCCCCCCCCCCCCCCCTTCTTTTAGGGGAGGGGGGGTAAAGGGTTTGGCGGCTAAACCAGCAAAAAACTTTGTTACCCCCCCCCCCCCTTCTTACATGCCCATCCATCCTTCCCACCGCACCCCTTAAGGATGATAACCAACTTTTGGTTCATCCCTTGTGAAACGTATCCCTGGGCCGGGGAAAAACCGGCATATCGCTCCGTCCCGCCATTGCAGGGATGCGCGGTCAATGTTTTAACACGATTACGGCATGCGTTTACAGGAGTACAACCCCCCCCCCCAACGTCACTACCCCCAGCTTGCTCATTCGCCCGCTCACTTTGTGACGATGGCTTCGATCTGGTCCAGGGTACGCCCGCCCCCGCACACCCGGGAGAGGTCCTTCGCGAGGGAGTCGGCCCGGCTCTTGGCGGAGTTACGCTGCGCGGTCAGTCGCATCACCTCCTCGGTCTTACCCTGCCGATGTAGTAGTAGCGAGAGTGGGGGGTGGGTAGGGGGGTGGGTACTCATTTTTTGCGTGCCTTGGCTGTGAAAAACATTCATTGACCACGCGACCTCGAGAGGACGGGGTATTGTTCCCTCGGGAGCATTGTTCCTGCAGGATCGATGACCGATGGCCAATCGTTCCTTTCTTCGCCAAAGAGGTGGCGTGGGGTAAACAGGGGGACTCAACGAGAGTCACCATGGAGGAGGCTAGTGGCAAGCCAAAAACGCTATCAGGGTATAGAATTCCGCGGCGTCTTGTGCTGCAAGCGGTCATGTTCATTCGGGGCCAGCCGCCCAGAGCTCTTAAGTCTATCAAGGATCGAGATGCTCGTGAGCACCAAGTCCAAGCGCGCTGCGTGGCAACCACCTACCGGCAGTCTCAGCTTGACGCGGCCGACGCCATAGCCCATCCCGCAGCCTACACACTATCATACAGTCATGTATACAACACACGCAAACGGAACAGACAGCTGGGGCCAACACGCAGCAGAACACAGCATACACACAAATAAAGAGGAATGCAACACGACACTCTTACTGAATTGATTGCCAATTTACACAGGGCTTGTTTACCCTGTGGATAGAGATGGGATTTGGTTTTTCGAAATACACACAATACGAACACGTCGACGTAATAAGTGTACTTCGTAAGAACAAGAACAACCACAGATAACACAAAGAACAAGATAGGCAACACAGCACCATGAATCCATCGCTATTTGATCCTGGACCTGTGGATAGAGGTGGATCTGTCTTCTTTCCCGTAAGAAAAAGAAAAGTCAACGAACACACGGTACACCCACGCAAAAAATCTCCACTGACCGCCATCTCGGCCCGCGTGTCCTCCTCCATCTTGACCGCCTTGTCCGCCCTCTCCTCCGCCGCCGCCTCCTTCGCCAACGCCTCCTCCATCCTCGACACTGCCTCCAAGTTCTCTGACTCGAGAGACGACACCTTGCCCTCGAGCTCGGAGACGCGGGCTTCCGACTCCACTGCTTCAGCCGCCTGGATTTGATTCAAGAAATATTTTTTGCTTTTTTGCTTAGCAGGTGTTGTCTAGGTCGGCGACTTATGTAGCACCGGCGACTCGTTTGATGAATGTTTGATTTGTGTTATTGTTGAGTTGCTAGAAGTTGATATTAGTTTGGGCGACTCATGTAGTGCCTCCGACTCCGCCGCTGCAGCCATCAGTCGTCATATTGCAGTGGATGAAGAGGTTGTCGTGGTAGGACGTATGCCTGCTTTGGCAAGAGGGTGGTATGTGCGGCAGAAACAGCCAGGCACGGCCTACAAACGACTTCGTACGACATTTTCATAAAAACAAACAGCCAATCGTTCCAGATTGCTTTTGAGAGATTGACAGACAGACAGACAAAAGAGCCTGACACACACACTTAAGAAAATACACACACACTCACACACACCCACGCTTTTGCTTCGCCTTGTTGACTGCCTATGAACACATCTCTCCTCGCTGTGTGCCTCTGTCCGACCCCCTCATCCTCGTGTCACGATTGTCTACTACAGGTATTTCTTCCTTCATCTCTTTCGCGTCTTACCCTTGCCGCCGAGTACTTTTCCTCCAGGGCACTGGCCCGAGCCCTCGACGAGTTTGCATCAGCCAGAAGCTCCAGCTTGTCCTTCTCCAGCGTCTGTACACCAAAAAAACATTTCCAGCCACGATTGCAGACAAGACAAGAGAATCGTCCAGTCCGCCAATAGGGAAGAACGGTTTGCTATGTAGTGGGACGACCTAGAAATTATGATTGGTGGTGGTGGGATATGTGGGTTGAGGAGTATCGGCGGCGGTGTGCCGGTGGGAGTCTTTCGCTGGAGAGTTCCTCCGTCGGCACACACAGCTCGAACAAGAGTATCAACGCCCGGTGCTAGATCTCGGAACGACGAGCATGAACTCTGCCTTTTCTCAAATCCCCTCGCTTCAACATGATCAGCCACAACAACAAGCAATCACCCCGACACGCAACCTCCAAAAACCAAACTCACACACACATCATTCAATACACTTGCAACCCCCCCCCCCCCCCGACTATTTTTTCATTAAAAAATTACTTCACACGAAAAAAAAAAAAAAACTCACCGCCAACTTGTTGTCCAGGACGGCGGCCCTTGCCCTGGCCTGGTCTAGCTCTCGCTCCGCCTTGCTCGCCCTCGCCGCTGCCTCCTCTGCGCCGGCGCGCTCCTTGGCTAGCTCCGAGTGCGCCACCTGTGAGCCCCACGCCCCGCCACGCGGCGTTGCGGCCGTTTCGGGAACGTCACCGTAGAAGGGGTCAGCGATCCAGACGTACCTAGACTACACGGCACTGCTGTAGGGCAACAGTAGTACATTTATGCCAGACCACGTAACAAAAAGCTACATAACAAAAAAACGTTTTCGCCCTCACCAACAACCAAAAAAAGGTATGTAGCTAGGCCCCCCACCCCCGCCGTCCATCGCTTCCACCCTTCCGAACACACATGCACGCGAAACAAAACACTTAAAAAATTCAATGCTAAGGTACCCTGGACTCTACTATCTGCGGCTAGAGATGAAATTCGTTGTGTGTTTGTAAGAAAAAAAAAAAACTCACACACAAAACATGTTGTATACGTGTTCGCGCTTTTATATCCCGCTATTACATACTGACGTCTTCTTTTCATTGGTCAGCCGGTTGTGTAGCGCGGTCGATGCTAATTCAGGAAAAACACATACACACACACAACCGCACTGACGTCTTTTCGTCTGTCAGCCGGTTAGCGCGGTCGATGCTCATAAAAAAAAATAAACACACACAAACAAAACCACAAACCACTGAGACCGACGTCTGTTAGCCGGTTTAGCGCGCTCGATGCTAACAATAAACACACACACAAACACACACACAAGACACACACCTCGGCCTCCCCGCCGAGCCTGCGGACCACCTTCTCCAGGCCGCTGAGCTTGCTGGCGCTCGCCCCGGCCTCGTCCTCCGCCGTCCCGGCCCTCGACCCCAGCCTCTCGGCCGACTCCACCGCCGCGGCGAGCTGCTCCCTAAGGGTCTCCACCTCCGTGGCGAGGTTACCGGCGGCCTCCTCGGCGGCCTCCTTGCCCTCGGCGCGTGCGGCGAGCGACTTGGAGAAGGGCCGCAGGAGGTCCAGCTCGGAGGACACCAGGCTCAGCTGGGAGAAGGGGGGGGGGGGGGGGGGGAAAAGGGGGGGGTTGGTTGGTTTTTTTTTTGTTTATGGCCTTGTTTTAACCAAAAAAAACAAACCCCAAAAGAGGGTGTTTTTTTTTTTTTTTTTTTTTTGGTCCCCGTTGCTATCCTTTTCGTT